GGAATGGAGAAAGGGGGAAGCTTGGGTTTTGACACTCACATGGTCAAGGGGTAGTGGGGCAGGCCCTACGAAGATTGGCTAAAGGGCCTGAACCTATTCAGCCTCCACAGGAGAAGGCTGAGGGGGGAACTGGTGGCTGTTTACAAACTCACCAGGGGGGACCAGTGGAAACTGGGGGAGGCTCTGTTCCTCCAGGCACTACTGGGGGTTACTAGGAATAACAGCCACAAATTGCTAGAGCGAAGGTTCAGGCTGGACATCAGGAGACATTACTTTACAGTTAGGGCTGCCAGGATCTGGAATGGGCTCCCAAGTGAGGTAGTGCTCTGTCTTACCTTGGAGGTCTTCAAGAGGAGGCTGGACAGATATTTGACTGGGGTGATATGATCCTGGCACCCGTTCCTGCCCAGGGCAGGGGTTTGGACCTGATGATCTGTTTAGGTCCCTTCCGACCCTAAATACTATGATACTATGATGCTATGACATATATGAAGAAGAGAATTAAAACTCAAGAACTCTGTCCCGGAGGAAGGGAGTTGTGAGTCATCAAACTAGGAATCATGGGAGAGCATCGGTGAGTGTGTGGGTAGAAGAGGACAGGACTGACATTTGCGACTTGGACCAGGAGAGGCAACCACTGAGGAAGTGGTTGCACAGGTAGGACTTCAGAAGTCTGCAGACAAGATGCTCTTCAAAAGGGGCATGTAGTTGACAGCAGGAGGATGACAGTGAGGCCTTTGGATTTCACTAGGCAGGGAAAAGTTAATGTATAATTTGTTTAGTGAGTGGAAGCAATCAAAGGGAGCTAAGGATGTTACCATGCTAGCAAACTAACAGTGTTCTCTATCTCTTTGGCTCTACTGCCTCAGTCCTATCTGACTCCTGTCTTTTCTTCCTACCCAATGTTACATATAAAAAACAGGCTGTACAAACCAATGAGGTGTATGAATACACTGAGTCTCTTGTGCAGCAGTGGGTTATTCAGGACCTGGCTATCAATGCAGTGACTTCTGCTCTAAGCAGTCCAAAGTCTGGCCCTTCCCATAGGGCTGATTTGCCCTAGTGTTCCTTTGCCCTATCATTACCCCGTCATGTCAGTGCCTATGATGCCCAGCCCTTAGATTATCTAATGCATGCATCACTTGTTGACTGCAAAACTAATTTACATGCTGAATGTTTCTCTTCTCTCAATCTTCTTATTCAAACTGGCCCATGTTTCCAACAAAGCCTTGACTGGAATGATCTAGTTGGGATGGTCCTGCTTTGAGCACGGGGTTGGACTAGATGACCACCTGAGGTCCCTTCCAACCCTAATTTTCTATGATTCTGTGTTTCTAGGGTTGAAGTAGAAATTCGCAAATGATGACAGTATGCCCATGCCCACCTCAGGAGTTATGTATCCATAGAGAATGATTTCAAACGTGCTTCAGGGAGTGACAGTTCCCAAGCAGGTAGAGATTGGAGGCTGTGCATTAGGGTCACTTTGACCTTGGGCTGGTTCCAGCATGTTTGAACACTCTTGAGAAATCATGGGAGGCAGGGGGAGAAGTAGTACGTTGATAATGAACTCTAGGGAGGTATTGGTCAATTTTTGTCAGTTACTACTTTTTCCATGTTAAGGATGGTTCTTAAAGTATGCTCATGTTAGCATACTGGACCTGAAACTGCTGCTGCTGTTGCTGCTTCTTCAGCCTGTGAAGGTCCTTAACCACACCACTTCCTGAGGTTTAATGCCAGATGTCCCCAGGAAGAGATGTGGTCATAAGCAGATATGCTCTGTAAGTGGGATGTTTGCCATCTCCTCTACCAAGGCTATGTATATGAGTGCTATTTCCTGCATGCTAAAAATAAACTGGGAAGGGCTAGTAATATGTTTAGAGACCCTCACCATCTTATTTGTGCCTTCCTCTACTGTGTGACTACATAGGAGAGCTTTCTCTTCTACCTTCCTCTCATGTAAGGCTTTAGTTTCTCAATCCTGGGGTTGTCTAACTACATGAAACAGTCTCTTGGTATGCCAGCTCTTAGATTTATAGCACTCCACAAAGACTGTGCTCCCATAGGAAGTGCTGTTTCTGTGGGTTTATTTTTCCCCAGACGTTCATTATTAGTTGGCTTCCCAGAGTGAGCCACATCCTAGCAGTGCGGGGGCTCCACAAACAAACATACCAGCCTGTTTTCCTTCCAGAATCTAGTACAGCATATCCTGTTTCCCCAGCAAGATGATGTCTGGTATGCTAGGATTTCCCCTGCCTCTTTACAAAATACCCTAAAAAAAGCATCAGAAGGCTAAGTGAAATTAGCTCCCTACTGTACAATTGAATGAATAGCTAAAGAGCCAGAGGACATGTGGCTGTAAATCATTTGGGAGGTTTAGTGCCCAAAAGGCGCAGTCAGTAGAGCTCCAGAACCCTAAATTGAGTTTCCTTGTGTTCCTCCAGTTTTTCACAAAGTCAAATGTTTTGTGTACATTCCATATTCTAAATAGTGTGTCCCTGCACTGTCTTTAGCATCATCCCTAACAGTTCCCTTTGTCTGATGTACATGAATTTTCAGAAGCACATACACAATGTGTTTCACAAATAAGTCCAAGATACCAGCTACAGCTGAGCTCTTAGTTCTGGCTGAAAGTGAAGGCAAGTTGTATATACAGGCTCTTTCCTCAGAAGTTGAGATTTAACCAAAGTAGGATTGTTTTTTCTTCCTGTATTGACTCATGTACAGTGATACTTTGAATTGCCAAATAATATGTTCCACTCCAGAAGGAGTTATTGCAGTATTGAGTAGCATATTACTTTTTACAACTGTTTGGTGCTCTTCCAGGTCAAAAGGTGTTGTGTAAGATAAATTAGAATACCTGTGAGATGGAGGATCTGGTATAACTGTGTCTCAAATTTTGCTTTTGGTTTGAAATGTTGGACTGAGTTATAAACCTTCTCTTGACTTTGAGGATTAAGATGAAGGTCAGAAAAGGTGAAATTCTGCCCCATTGAAGTCAATAGGAGTCTTGCACTGACTTCACTAGAGCCAGGTTTTCATTCAGCAGTTCTTTTAAACCCCCAAATTGCCTTTAAGTAAAATTGACACTGCAAATTGGAGCTGCAGAGGCTGTGGGACTCAACAGCTCCAGTGTGGAACTGCTGCTTCCAACAGTCCTAACCTAACTACCCTTGGCCTTCTTGCACAGTGACAAACTCAAGGTGAGTGGGGCTTTCAGAAAACTGTCCCTTGTGTTCTTTTTATATCAGCATTCCCCTCCCACAGCAGCAGGAGCTGCAAGTAAAGCCAGGGATTGGAGTTTAATTCACTTGCTTCCAAGGTGCTTTTCTGTGGTAAAGAGTGTTGGAGTAGAGGGGTGGGGATGGAAAAGGGGATCTGAAAGTCTTTCATCACTTCCTCTGCCTTGCAGATTGTGTTGTGCAATGAAGCAATATGCTTGAAATAGAGGCCTGTGAACACTGCCTTCCAATTCCTAATCTAGGCCAAAGCCTGGAGTATGGGAGATGGCAGAATCCCCTCTGGAGCTGGTTCTGCCTGTTGTTTGCAATGCTGATAGTCCCTCTTCTCTCTGACAGGGAAACTGCACTCTGGCAAGATGCTCTGTGTCTGGTGAGTCTTGTACTTGGAATTAACTTGTATTTTGTTTTTCATTTCAAACAATAGTCAAAGCAAGACAAACTAATCAGATTTGATGGTCACAATAAACTGGAGTAATCGAAGACAAGCCTCCATAAAGCTAATTGGTAAAGAAACAATAGGTTAAAAATTAAATTGGAAGGAAAACCAGCTGCATATTTCTGTGGAGACATTTGCTTAGTGAGAGTAAATTTTGTTTTCTGCTTCAATGGCTAAATTTAATCCACCTCCTTAAGCATTGCCTAGCTGGAAATGGTTCTTCCTTCTGAGCTTGTGTATCTCTAAGGAAGTCTGTATGTTGTCAGACTCTTATACCTAGCCTCTCTAATTGAAGATCAAGCTGGAAACTTTCCGAGCACCCCTGAAAAGGCAAAGGGCAAGATTTTAATTTGGATAAGTCACCTAGTCTCCAGGGTCAAATCAGAGAACATGAGCATAGCAGGGCCTTCTGGTACTGCGTATTATTGAGGAGTTTTTTGGAAGGGAACACATTTCTCTTCCAGTAAATATTTCAGAAAGCAGCTTCCTTGGGAATGCTGCTGCACTGCTGGAATGGTATTTGTTTCCTTTCCTATTATTGCTGCTCCTGGGTTTCCTGTGAGAGTGTCTTGGAAGTAAATGGGTCCTTGCTGTGTCCTAATTTGAAACTTTTTGCTGCTAATACTGGAGTGTTTGAGACTGTAACAGCCCCAAGCAGTGGTCATGCCAGCAGGTTACTATGTTGGGAAATTTGGTTTGGCTTTATTTTTCTCTTTAATTGACTTTGCTTATTTTTCTGGCTTTGGGGAAGCTGCTGGTTTGTGTCTTTCCTTTTTAAAAGATCTGTATCCCAAGGGGCTGGTGTGGCAGGGGAAGGTGTTCCTTGGAAACATGCTTGGAAACATTTATCTGAGTTGTTTCCAACTGTATATGCTCTTGTTATCCTGCTGGGTGTGACTCTGTAGTTTAGAGGGTAACAAGGTTTTTCGTTTAAATGGTTTCTACCTTGCAGGTGTTCCTGGAGGCCAGGGGCTGGCTTGCGCCAACAGTAGGAAGTTTGTGTAAGTATCCATGGGAAAGTGGAGGTCTGCTGCAGCATGTCAGAGGGAGGAGCTGCTTTAGTCTTGATACCTAGTGGTGTCTGCTTTGTTGTCATTAAATCCTTATGATGCTCAGAACTGGCTTCAGCGAAATATGGGCACCCCAGCTTTTGTAGTCCAGGAACTGCAGGGTGTTATGAAGAATGCTGCTGAGTTCTCCAAGTATAGTTGGCTGTTGAATTCCCTTTGGGTACCTCCATAAGATCTATACCACATAGACTAGCATGAAAGTGACCCTTGGCTTTAGTGTATATGCATCATCTGGCAGCTGAACAACCTTCAAACCAGTTTTACAAGCCAGTGTAGAGTCTGTGCCTGGTCCAGTTTATATGGGAGATGTGGGTTGGCTACCCACAGAAAGCGAATTTATTCCCTTGTGTGTTCTCTCTCTTTCTCCAGTGCAAACAACTCAAGTATCTTCGCTGTCCGTTACTTCAGAACCACTGCTGCATGTAGTAAGTAGCTATGTGTTGGGAACCACTGGGATTAACTGCTGTGCTCTCCCTTACTGGCATGTATCAGTGGTGGTCTGGTGTTGGGTGGTGTTAGGATTGCAAGGTGGATAAAAATCAACTATTTAAAAAAAAAAATACAAAATCAGATTTTTTTTATTTAAATTGGATTTTTTTTTTTATTTAATCACTTTCTTTGTTAAGATGTTTTTTTAAAAAAACCCTATATTAAGATAGTTTTAATTTAGGATATGTTAAAGATCAAAGATGTCATCAAGGAATACGGATTATAACTTCTAATGATACACTATTTGAGACAATATTTTCGCATAGCCTTTTTAGAACAGTTTTATGAATAGGTCACAACAGGCAACAGACTATATTATGGGCCCAATCTTATAGGGTTCCCAGAGGCTCCTCTATAGATTAGTAAAGATTTTAAAAAAAAAAAATACTCTACCCAGTGGGACTCAGTGCTCAGTCTAGAAGATCCCATTGGGTAGAGTATTTTTTTTTTTTTAATCTTTACTAATTTAATGGGCAGAAAACAATAAAATCTGTTGTTTAGATCTTTACTAAATAGAATGCAATTTAACAAGGAGAAATGCAAAGTGCTGCACCTAGGGAGGAAAAATGTCTAGCACACCTACTGCCTAGGAAATGACCTGCTGGGTAGCACGGAAGCGGAAAGGGATCTCAGAGTCCTAGTGGAGTCCAAGATGAGCATGAGTCGTCAGTGTGATGAAGTCATCAGCAAAGCTAACTGCACTTTATCATGCATCAGCAGATGCATGACAAACAGAACCAAGGAGGTGATACTTCCCCTCTATCGGGCACTGGTCAGACCGCAGTTGGAATGCTGCGTGCAGTTTTGGGTGCCGCACTTCAAGAGGGATGTGGATAACCTGGAGAGGGTCCAGAGATGGGCCACTCATATGGTTAAGGGCTCGCAGGGCAAGCCCTATGAGGAGAGACTAGGGCACCTGGACCTCTTCAGCCTCCACAAGAGAAGGTTGGGAGACGACCTTGTGGCTGCCTATAAATTCATCATGGGGGCGCAGAAGGGAATTGGTGAGGCTCTGCTCACCAAGGTGCCCCTGGGGGTCACAAGAAATAATGGCCATAAGCTAGCAGAGAGCAGATTTAGACTGGACATTAGGAAGAACTTCTTCACAGTTAGAGTGGCCAAAAACCCAGCACGCTTTCCTGGCTATGCAGGGGGTCGGACTTGTTGATCTACGGAGGTCTCTTCTGGCCCTAACATCTATGAATCTGTGAGGCTGAGGTTTAGTTTTCAAACTGTGGATTTGTGTCTCCAGAGATAAAATCCTTGTTACCAGCAGTATATGGCAAGAGAATCATAGAAAGTTAGGGTTGGAAGGGACCTCAGGAGGTCATCTGGTCCAACCCCCTACTCAAAGCAGGACCATCCACAACTAGATCACCCCAGCCAAAGCTTTGTCTAGGCAGGTTTTGAAGACCTCCATGGATGGAACTCCCACCACCTCTCTGGGTAACCTGTTCCAGTGTTTTACTACCCTCCTAGTGACAAAATTCTTCCTACTATCTAATCTAAACTTCCCTTGCTGCAACTTGAGATCATTGTTCCTTGTTTTGTCATCTGCCACCGCTGAGAACAGTCTAGCTCCATCCTCTTTCAAACCTTCCTTCAGGTAGTTGAAGTCCCATCTCAGTCTCCTGTTCTCTAAAATAAATAAACCCAGATCCCTCTGTCTTGTCTCATAAGTCATGTTCCCCAGCCCCCTCACCATTTTTGTTGCCCTCCACTGAACTCTTTCCAGTTTGTCCACATCCTTTCTGTAGTGGGGGTCCCAAAACTGAACAGTTTTCTTTCGTAGCTGCAAAACTCCAGATGTAGCATCACCAGTGCTGAAGAGAGGGGAATAATTAAAAAGCTGTTGAATAATTAAAAAGCTGTTGAAATCTTATTGTCTACTGTAACCCCAAGGTCCTTCCTTGCAGAGCCACTGCCCAGCCAGTCAGCCCCAGCCTGTACCAGTGCATGGGATTGTTCCATCCTAATTGCAGGACTTTGCACTTGTCCTTGTTGAACCTCATGTGATTCCTTTTGGCTCAATCCTCCAATTTGTCTAGGTCACTAGTGCTACCCTATAGCAAATCTACTATTTCTTCCCCTCCCCCCACCCCAGCTTGCTGTCATCTTGCAAACTTGTTAAGGGTGCACTCTATGCCATGTTCTAGGTCGTTGATGAAGATATTGAACAAAACTGGCCCCAGGACTGACCCTTGGGGCACTCAACTTGATACCGGCTGCCAGCTACATATTGAGCCATTGATTACTACTCTTTGAGCCCAGTGCTCCAGACAGTTTTCTATCCACCTTACAGTCCATTCATCTAGCCCATACTTCCTTAGCTTGCCTGGGAGAATGTTGTGGGAGATGGTATTAAAAGCCTTGCTAAAATCAAAGTATGCCACATTGACCGGTCTCCCCGCATCCACAGAGCCAGTCATCTCATTATAGAAGGCAATCAGGTTGGTCAAGCATGACTTGCTCCTGGTGAATCCATGCTGATGGTTCCTAATCACCTTTTTGTCCTCGCAAGTGCTTAGAAATGGATTCCTTGAGGATCTGCTCCATGATTTTGCGAGGGACTGAGGTGAGGCTGACTGGTCTGTAATTCCCTGGATCCTCCTTTTTCCCTTTCTTAATATGGGCACTATGTTTGCCCTTTTCCAATCATCCAGGACCTCTCCTGATTGCTAGAGGTACACATCTACACATTGGATTGGCACCGATATAAAGAAAATTGAGTGAATTGGCTTTTTTTTGCCTGATGTGACCGATAATGTCACTGGTAAATCCCCCATGCATGTGTGCAACCACAGTGCAGCACATAGGCAGCCAGGAGCACAGCCCCACAGCGTGAAGAGCAGGTTTGGCTGGTAAGTCTGTTGTGAGGGAAGGGGCATGGGGGAGCAGATTGAGGCCCCAGCAGTGAGGGAGGGAGTGAGGCTGGGGCAGAGGCAGGCACTGCACAGACAGGGTGGGGCACAGGATGGAGCCACAAGCAGCTTGTGCGGTGGGGGGGACAGCTTCTGCCACTACGCGCACTCCAGGAGGGCATGAGGGGGGCATGTGCCCCTGAATCTGCATGCAGGAAGAGGGCGGGCTGCTGCTGCGGGCGTAGGCTTGGGCTGGGCCTGGCGCTGGTGTCAGGTACTTCCCAGCAGGGGTTGGGCTGGAGCTGTGCTTGGGAAGGGTGGTGGTAGCACTGGGAGGAGATCTTAAGGGGACCACAGTGAATTTTGGTAGCTGCAGCCCCCCCCATGACCCATTCCCAGTGCCGCCATCCCAAATGCAGTCTGACCCAGCCCCCAGCCAGGAAAGCCCAGTGCTGCCCCAGCCCGCAGCAGCAGTCTGCCCTCGCCCTGTGTGCAGATCTGGGGTCACACGCCCCCACCTGCCCTTCTGGGATGTGCGCAGTGGCGGGAACCGCTCACGGCTCTGTCCTATACTCCACCCCCATTGTGCAGTGTCTGTCCCTGCCCCAGTCCCACTCCCTCATTGCAGGGACCTTGATCTGCCCCCACACCCCTTTCCTTGCCCCTTCCCCCACAACAGACTTACCAGCAGGACGCTGCTCTCCATACTGTCTGGCTGCCTATTGGGATCGGCCAATACAGATAGCAGATTTTTAAGGAGTCATATCGGCCCCTAAATTCTCTATTGGTGCACCCTTACTAATTGTCATGAGTTTTCAAAGATGATGGCCAACAGCTCTGCAATCACATAGCCAACTCCCTCCGCACCCTCAGGTACATCCCATCGGCCCCAGGGACCCATACATGTCCATCTTTTCTATGTAGTCCCTAACCTATTCTTTTACCACTGAGGGCTACTCAACTCTTCCCCGAACTGTGCTGCCCAGTGCAATAGTCTGGGAGCGGACCTTGCCTGTAAAAATGGAGGCAAAAAAGGCATTGAGCCACTTCAGCCTTTCCTGCATTCTCTGTTACAAGGTTGCCTCCCCCAGTCACTTTCTGTGATCCCCCCCTTGCTACTGACATACTTCTAGAAACCCTTCTTGTTACCCTTCACATCTCTTGCTAGCTGTAACTCCAGTTGCACAAGAGATGAGAGATAACAGGCCTGTTTACCTACCCATCAGCCCTGTTGTCTCTCCGGAAGTTTGTGTACAGAGTCAAGCCCTTACCTCTCTCTAAAAGTGCAAAGCTTCAAGAAGTTAAATGAATAAGAGGACTGGTGGGGGTGGGGTAGATCTGGGCAAGGAGGAGGAGTCTGGATATAAATGCAAGGAGGGAGGGGCAATAGAAACAAAAGAGAAACACTTGGAGCAGAAGATTCCAGAAGTCGTGAGGGATACTTTTCTAAGTATAGCCTCTCCATTGATTTGAGATCTAGTGAGGGAGTTTGGTAGAAGGGAAAACCTATCATGGCAGCAGGCTTGCCAGACTGTAAGAGAAAAGAAATCAAAGATGAGATGAAATCTAGAAGAAAGTGAAAAAAGCCCCAAGCTCATAACATATGACTGCAGCGCTCATTTGATGTCCTAATATGGCGTGGCAATATCCCCCAAATAGCCATGATTAATCTAGTGAATTAGAGTTGGTTCACCTTCCAGTGATTTCACAAACATGTGCTTCAGTTAGCTTTGGTAAATAAAACAACCAAATCATAATTCAGTTTTCTTATGTAGCTCAAAATTAATCTGAAAAATATCAAAATAAATCACTGTTTTAAAATATATAGTATGTACCTTCTAAAAATGAAATCTACATTTATTTCTTGAGTTGTGAATAATATGTATTAAGGTTTTATCAAACAAGAATGTGCTTTTTGTAGAAACCAATGAGTAAATCGAAGCTTCCTGACCATTGATTTAAATTGTGATTTAAGTCTTGATTTAAATCAAATCTACCCTGTAGGACTGTGTAACTTCCTGTCTGCTGGGAGCAGCTTGCTGCTATGCCTGACTGTCAGACATGTTGGCCAGCTTCCTGGCTTCATCTGACTCCTCTTGATTACCAGTTCTAGGGAATCCTAGTGGGCAGCATTGCACTGAGCTCTTTGTGTTTGTCACTCCATCCATGTCTCTCCCACAGGGAACGATGTGGTTACAGTGAACACTCCAGCATTCGCAGAGTCAGTCACAGAGGGAGATGTCAGGTGGGAAAAAGGTAAGAAGTGGCCCTCCCCTGGGGCTTTTGACACCATTAGTGGTTTGGTTTTCTACACTTTATTGTGCAGTCCTAGGAACAGGTTAGAGCTAGTTGGCTGAAGTCCTGCTGCTTAACATCCCTAAGACTGAGAGCATGACGCAGCTGCATGCTGACAACACTTCTACAAGCAGCATGAACTGTTGGTGCACCTCTGTCTGGCTACAGTTGCCACAGAAGCTGTCAGCAATTTCATATCCACGTGGCTTCACCATAGCAGCTGTGGTGGCAGGGGTGAAGTGCACCCTGGAAAGGCATCAGCTGCTTATGGGACCACAGCAAACATCAGAAAGCATGAATGTCTCTACACATGCCCTTTGCTGGGTGGCTGCAGTCTCCTTTTACTCTGCAAGCAGAAAGAAGGGGGTTGCTTCTGCAAAGCAGCTGTGAAGTGAACACACAATTCCACTGGCAGAGCTATATAATGTAAACCAGGCTTCTTTAGCCTTACCCAGGTCTAGGGTATATAAATCCTGGGCTACTGGGAGACTGTGCTGTGGGTTAGGAATGGGGTCAGAGCACAGCTCTATGCTCACAGTGGTTCTTATATTGTTCAGCTGTTGGAGACACAGTGACAGAAGACGAAGTGGTGTGTGAGATTGAAACAGACAAGGTAGGAGTGTTCCATCCTGATTTATCTATTCCCCTCTTTTGGAGCATCCCAGAGGCCTTCTCTCTGGAGCTCTGTTCCAAAGCTGGCAGTCTCTGCAGAACACTGCGGAAAGAAATCAAGTAATCTTGCCTTTCTCTGTGTCTGTGGGAGCTGTGTTTCCTGTGTCATTGGTAGGGAGGCAGCTTCTTGTGTTCCAGCTCTGTTCTGTGCTGTGCCTTTGGAGCTGAGCAGAAGGATCAGGCTGCTTCTAACAGCTTGAAATACTTGGGGGTGGGGAGGGTGCCCACCTTCAAAGGGGCATGAGACACATTTCCACATGCTGTCTCTCTCCCATGAAAGGAGATGGTCTTCTGCTTAAATATCTGTTCTGCTTCCAGTGGTCAAAGGGGAGGTTGTTTGTTTCTTTCCTGCAGACATCGGTGCAGGTCCCAGCCCCAGCAGCTGGTGTGATTGAGGCTCTTCTGGTACCTGATGGTGGGAAAGTAGAAGGAGGGACCCCTCTATTCAAACTCAGGAAAACTGGAGGTATGTCAGGGGTCATGTAATTAGGTAGGGTTTCCTGTTCTCCCCAGTCTTCTACTAGAGACAGAGTAGAGCATTTAAAATCCTCTTGCCTCCTTGGTAGGAGCTTATTTATACCTGCGCCTCTGGCATTCAAAGGAAGAGTGTAAGACTGTATAGCAGTCCCTGTTGAAATGTAACAAGGTGCTGCACAATGCAGTGGTTGTTCTCTCAACTGCCTTGTCTCTTCCAGCAGGGGAGAGTGGAAATAAAGCAATGAGAATGGAGAGAGAGGACCCAGGATTAGGGAGTCTCTGTGGTGTAGGGAGTCTCTTGTGATGTGTGTGCACAAGCTGGTGGGTAAGAGTTGGTGTTGCGGGGAGACCTGGGATATAAAGTACAGATTGTTTCTTTTCCATTCTCCGGGCCTAGTTGTATTTCTGTCACCTCCCCCTCCAATCTTTAAACAAGGCCCAGAGCATTCGAGTGGGGTACAAGAAGCAAATCTGGGTAGGATAAAAAAACACAACTAAACCATGGAACAGCCTGCCCTTGGTGGATGGGAGCTAAATGTGTGAGGCCTTGGCTTCATCCTGTGCCCCAGGTATCACTGACTGACAGGGACATCTCTGTGCTACTGAAATGCACTTGGAGAGTGCAAAGGATAGATGTGGATATTTTCCATTAGGCTGGGCATTGAAGAGGAGAGCTTGCTGGGATGGGGATCCCTGAGATGGAGACTTTCAGCTGTTGCAGCATGTAACTTGCGCTTATAAGCATTATTCCTCCCTGTCTTTCAGCTGCTCCTGCCAAGGCCACACCAGCAGCAGCCCCTCCTCCTGCTGCTGCAGCCCCTGCACCTGAACCTGTCTCAGCTGCTGTTGCTCCTCCTGCAGCACCAATCCCTACTGCAATGCCACCAGTGCCACCTGTTTCAACCCAGCCCATTGAGAGCAAGCCGGGTGAGACTACAGCCCCTCCAGCTTTCCTAGTGTATGCCCTATCTTCCTGTGGAAGAGTGAAGAAAACTAAAATGCAGTAAACCAATCTTAGAAGTAGAATTAGAGGTTTCTCTTCCTTAATGCCCTGTATGTACCAGGCATGAGACTTCTAGTTCAGCTCAACGCCTGGCCTCCCCTCAGTAGCAGTCTGAGGCTTGCTTCTACATGTCTCACTGAACAAAGGGCCTCCATCAAGCTGTCATAGGCCAGGACCTGTTCTTCAGATTCCTTTGACACATTTTCTTTGGTCTCAGTTTCTGCAGTGAAGCCGACTGCAGCTCGTGCTGTGGAACCAGGACCCAGCAAAGGTGCCAGATCAGAGCATAGGGTAAGCTTCAGGGGACCCGGCTGTTGGAATGGTTTTCATTGCTTAGTGATAAAGTATAGTCTGGACATGCTCACACCCCAGTACATTGAGAGACTGTTCTTACAGATCAGGCAGTGACTGTTGTGGGTGGACAAATTTTACAACCCAAGTGCTCCATGTAGTCTGTGCACATAAAGGAGTGGGACTCAGGAAGAGCCTGCTTGCAGCTCCCAGGGAAGAACAGGCTGTAGGACAGGAAGACCGAATGTGGTGTCTCACTCCTAGGTGATGGCTGAGTGTGGGTGCTTGCTTGTGCTATCCAGGAGTCCTTAGCAGTGAAGCTGGTGCGGCTGCTGCAGCCAGGTCCACTGGTGCCAAACCTCAAGGGAATGTGGGTGAGCAGCCCACAGAATAATTCCAGTCCCAAGAGCATTGTTGGTCTGTGGCTTTCCTAGCAGTTGACTATTCTCACGCTAGCCCAGTCGTTGCCCAGCTTTCGGAACTTTCCCTTCAGCAGAGCTGCAAGTGGGGTTTGGTTCTGACCCACCTCCCGCCTTTGACATGCTTCAGTGTTTTGTTTTTCAACCAAACCATTTCCTGATCTGAGAAGCCTCTAGTGAGCTTGCGGCAGCTTTCCAGGCCTGTTGTTTCCTTCAGCACTTGGGCAGCTTGGCCCACGGCACAGGCTGCTACACTTAGCAGGCACAGGAAAGCCACAGTGCCCTCGTTCTGTCCTCCCTACCAAACCCAAGGCTGCTTTTGCTCACGGTCTCTTTGATTTCAGGTGAAAATGAACAGGATGCGTCAGCGCATTGCTCAGCGCCTGAAAGAGGCTCAGAACACTTGTGCCATGCTGACCACCTTTAATGAAATTGATATGAGGTGAGGACCATGACCTTTCCTCTGCCCAAACAGGTTGGGGCCTGCCCCCAGTGCACAGCTGGGCAAGAAAGTCCATGCAGCTCAGGCACATTGTGGCAAATCCATGCCCATCTGTGCAATTCCCTTGAGGCATGGCCATCACAAGGTGTGCATAGCTCGCTAAAAGTCCTTAGGCTCCAATATAGAGAACTTTTGTTGTGTCTGTTCTTCAGAGCTGTTCTTGGTTGGGGACCTGGTGATATATAGCAGTAAAAGCTAGAACAGCTTATGTTCTTGCTTGTCGTGAAATTTTGAAGGCAGCATCAGCTCTGTCTTCACCCTCCAGGTGCCTACCTTGGAAGCAGAGATGTGTGATTGATTGACTGCAGGTGGTGTCCATGAGGTAGCTCATCCTCCAGGCCTAGATACCACCCCCCATCTTCCTCCCCCAACTGAGCCCTGCACAATGATATGGTTCTGGCTGTCTTACAGCACAGGTTTCTAAAGATGGTCTAGCAACCCTCCCCCATCCCTGTGCTCTGCTTTTGTGAGGGTCTCTAGGCTCAAGGACTTGCATGGACTGACTGAGTGCACTAATGGGTTTGGAGGGTGGGCAGCTTATGTTACAGTGCATTAAGGGAAATTGTGCCCAAATCAAATTGCTCTGTGAAATCCTACTCTGCTCCTTAAGACAAAACATGTAAATATTTGGGTCTCGGAACAATAAGGTTGGCAAAATAGTCTTGATTGGAGGGGAAGTGCTGCAGCTTTATCTCCTCTCAGAGGCTCATCGAGGTGTCGCTTTACGCTGGCCTCGGGTTCTCGTTGCAGCCAGTAATCTGTTTTGGATTGATCTCCCATCCAGTTGTATGCCATGCTGCCGACTCACAAGGGTCTGCACTGAAGCCTCTTGTTCCCTACTGGGGTCAGCGTCTGAAAGGAGGAAGCTATAATGAGCAGGTTTCACAGCAAACCTCCTCTTCATTTCTGCAGCCCTTGCGTCTTGGGAGGCACTAATGTCTCTGGGCCGTAATCCTAGCCCTAAACAAGGTTAAGCGCAGGAAAACAAGCATTCTAAACCCATTGGGCCCCCTCCCCTTCCTAAAACTGCCTCATTAAAGGCACCAGCCAGGGTGGGGGGAAGGGCAGAATTATACAATTCCACAACCTCTGGTATTGTCCCAGAATGGGCAGAGCCAAAGCCAGGCAGTTTTGTTTAATTTGTGCACCTTGCCTTAATTCCAGCTAACAAAAATACCAAGAATGGCTGTTTCCTCCTCTCTGATCCTGGATGGAGTGGAGCAGATGCTGGGCTACCTGCTTAGCTCACCTCCATAACCATCTGGGAGGTCTTAGGTGGGGTGGGGAGGACCCAGTGTTGTATACTTGCACCCTGGCAGCCCTCAAGCCTGTGCTGAGTTCCAGTACACTTGGCACACTGATGCTGGCTGGGGTCCCAGGACACAAGGGTTGAAGCTCCTGTTGCCCTGCTCACTTTAAGTCTTCTCTGCTGCCTAGTCTGCCATTCTTGCAGTGATATCAAGGCAGTCCTGGGCAAAAAGGCAAATAGCTCCTTTGTAACTGCTGCCCTGAACATCAGACAGAGGGGCTGTGACCCTAGGGGCTCAATAGTGGTCTCTGCAACACCAGACCTGGAACATGGTATATTCCTGTTCTTGCTTCCCTTCCAGACAGTGTCCGTGGTATTGAGCAGAGCTGAGCTGTTTCACCGTCTTATTGGATTTGTGGCTCTGGGTCAATTCCTAACACACACTCTCCAACAGCCAAAAGTAACCCTGTCTACTGAGCTTGGGAGAATTTTTCAGCAGATTGTGAATAGAGGGGCTGTTGTAGGTCTATCAGACTCCCATGGAGATTTGTTGGCCCACGGGTAACACAGGAAGTCTGGCAGCTGTGTAGCACATAAATAACTTCCTCTTCCCGGCACAGAAGTGAGGGGTGGTAATGTTCTTGTGGTGGGTCTTGCAGTAACATTCAGGAGATGCGAGCCCGGCACAAAGACTCCTTCCTGAAGAAGCACAACATGAAACTCGGCTTTATGTCAGCCTTTGTGAAAGCAACAGCCTTTGCCCTGCAAGATCAGCCTGTTGTGAATGCAGGTGAGTGACAGCCCCTCCTAGTAGCATGCAGAGATCTGATACTATTCTTCAGGCTATATGCTTCAGAAGCCCCTAGGTAGATAAAAAGGTTCTAGAGTTATTAAAACACGTGAGGAATGGAGAAGGAAAAGGCCAGTAGTGGAGGGACATAGCTGGGCACCCAGGACACAGGAGCATTGCCAACTTCTGGTTACCCCGCAGTTGTGATCATGTGGCTGCCAGCAGCAGCCATGTGATTTCATCCCTTCCCCCCATTGTTGCCTGTGGCAGTTGCCCCATTTGCCCCACCCTGGTTAGGTCACTGGAGAAGGCTGAAGGCTGATCTTGCTGGTGTGCTAGGAGGGCCCCTTCACCACAATCCCAGCCTGAGCTTTCAGGACTGACCGAGTGGGAACAGGGTGTATTAATATGTTTTGCTTAGCTTGTCCAGAGGCCCAATCCTTCTGTATCCCATTGGGATGACTGTCATCCTTTGGCGGCAGTCAAGCACTTGGGGAGATATGTGGCAAAGAATTGTGGGCCAAGGGACACACGGGTTTGTAAGCATGTTTCATAAGAGGGTCACCAAATCTGTGCAGCTCCCTTTGTCTCCAGCTGCCTTCTTTTCTGTGCTGCTATAAAGGGTTGGACCCCTCTGCTGGAGCTACGTTTTAAAGCATAGGAACTAGAGATGGGCAAGTTGCTATCTGTCTGTGGCAGGGTTTATCATGCCTGCAGAGTTCCGGGTCTCAGATTCTCTGTGTAACACTGACTCCTTTCCTGTCTCTCCTAGTGATTGATGACACAACCAAAGAGATTGTGTACAGGGACTATGTGGATATCAGCGTTGCTGTGGCAACTCCTAGGGTAGGCAATGGGGGCTCTCTTCCCTGGTCCAGCTTGCAGCCCAGGTCCTGTTGGGGGGATATAGTTAACTATATGGCTAAGTCCTGGCTCTCTAGTGTGCCAGCTATTCCAATGAAACTCTGGTGCCCCAACCAAACTACCTGGCCTGACAGTAGGGGTTAGGAAATGTTATTTGCCACTCTCCTCATCCCCAGAAGAGAGAGTAAAGGTCACCCCAGATCTTGTGGGTTAACAGGAGAGGCCAGACTGCCTTGGCCTCACTGAAGTGGGCCCACCAGGCCATGAGGTAGAAGAAACTGTATTCTGGCTGCATGTTTAGAGATGAGCCTTCAGATGTAAGAGAAAGGCAGAAAACTGCCTCACCACACTGTACTTCATCACTACTTCTGTAAACCCAGATGCTGCCACTTCAGAAATAGCTGTCCTTGAGCAGGGCATGCCACAGATCCCAGGTATGAAAAGAAAGGATGGAGAATGTTGCAGCACATCTTTATAGATCAGGAAGCAAAGTGGCAGTGGGTGCTCTGGACTCTCCCGGGATCTGAGATGAGTACGCACCCTGCCTTTCTCCTCATGTTACCAGCTATCCTGTCCAGGAGGGCAGGAGGTGAAGTTGGCTCCCCTTTGCACCTCACCCCCCTCGTTTTGAAGATGAAGTTGGGATCCAGGCAGGTTGAAGTGTCCATACTCCTGTCACTTAAGTCACTAGTTTAAACCACCAGCCTGTCTTAACTCAGCATCTTGTCTTCTTGCCTCATGCCCTGGGCTACATTGCTGGGTATCCAGCCTTTGGCAGAAGATGGGTCTCTACATTCTCCATTCTGCTATGCTGTAAGCAAAGAGTAGTGACTACCTTCACAAAAGCAGGTGGCCCCAGCCTTAGGTAAAGTGTTCACTGCTGCATTGGACTTTCTGAATAGGTTGTCTGCCCCCACAGGGTCTCGTGGTCCCCGTCATCAGGAATGTAGAAACTATGAACTTTGCTGACATTGAGCGAACCATCAATGAGTTGGGAGAGAAGGTAATGAAAGATGGAGTTGGGGCTGGAGGGCATGTGCTGGGTATATAGTTTTAGCCAGGAGGACAAAAAGGAAAGGAACGAGAAGCTGACAGTCTTCCAGAGGGAAGTTAATTTCTGGCAGGGACTTTTGAGTGGATACATGTGGATTGGTCTCTGGCCCTTCAACTTGTTGCTTGACTTAAACACCTCTGGTGCTGTACCTGCCTTAGCTCTGATCATACTTTATGGGCAGCCCCTACACAGATTTGGACTCCTCAGAGCCACTGCTCCCCTTGCCTTTGAGACTGAGGCCTATTTTCCTCTCCTGGGACATAATTCCCTAGACCAGCCTGCAATCAAAGCAGGTTCCCTGAATTAAGGGAAGAGAATCCCATCTCCAGAACAAATGCTGGATCTCCCTGCAAGTAAGTGCAGATGGGGATAGAGCCTGTTTATTTTCTGCTTCTCTCGTTAGTGACTATCGGTCCCTTGAGTGCATCAGTCTTGGCTCAGAGTCAGCTGATGTACAGATGGACCCCACCTCCCTGAGTACCCGAGACCTGATCACAGTTGTGACCATATTGAAAGCTGGCAGTTCAGTGCCTCCTTTGCATGACTCCTCTTCTACTAGTGATGATTGTAATTTGTTGTTACCTCTTCTCAACCAGTTGCCTGTTTCACGGGGGTGAAACATTAGCCCTGAAGTCAGGTGTCTCTCTCTAGCCCTTAAATTTAAGGGATATGTTTTCTAGTAATTCCATCCAAATATCTGCATCTGTCTCTCATTAAGAAGGATGCAGAGAGAACAGGTCTTGACTGAGAACATAAGGAACATATTGACAGATCTGCATCCCTTGCCCTGTGTGACTTCAGTCTAAGCAATTTTCTAAGATTGTGTTCTTGTTTTAGGCCCGAAAAAATGAACTGGCCATTGAAGACATGGATGGCGGCACCTTCACTATCAGTAATGGAGGAGTCTTTGGGTCGCTCTTTGGGACACCCATCATCAACCCCCCTCAGTCTGCCATACTAGGAATGCATGCCATTGTTGACAGGCCTGTTGCTGTTGGAGGCAAAGTAGGTGCAGCTGTGTGGAAAGTTTGAGCTGAGCAGAAGTGAAGGGTTCTGTGGTGGGAGGGACCCTGGCAGCAGCAGCCTCTCAAAATGAGTATCAAAATGAGCTGCAAGCTGGGCAGCAGTCCTCCTCCCAGAAGCTTGTTGTGTACTGACTTGCAGGGAAGAATGGTGCTCAGACCTTTTGTGGGTTCCTGCTTGTGAAGCTAACAGTGCTGATCTAGTGGTGTCCAGAGGATAGGTGCATGGCTTCCCTCTTCTCCCTGTGGCTGGAGAGCTGGGAAGCAGATGGAGCAGAAGTATCCAGGGTTTGCTGGAAGGATATAAGGGGTGCCCCTCATGCTGCAGGGAGCGGGCAGCTGCAATCTCAGGGTAGAGGTGAGGTCCCTAGAGAGACAGAGGGACAGCATGCTCCCATGTCTTGTACAGACCCACCCAGAGCTAGTGCTTAATTATCGTAGAGATTGCAGTGCTGAGCCATGTCTGCCTACTAGGCTGACCCCTCTGGGAGAGGCCTGTGCCTTGCTATGCCCCAGGAAAAGCAGTTTCCCTCCCCTCTGTGCTGGAAGTCTGCGAAGGGAGGGTAGAGCTCTCACTCCCTACTTCTCTTCTGTAGGTCGAGGTGCGGCCCATGATGTTTGTGGCATTGACGTACGATCACCGGCTGATTGATGGCAGAGAGGCAGTGACTTTCCTGCGCAAGATCAAGGCAGCAGTGGAGGATCCCCGTGTGCTGCTGCTAGATCTCTAGAGCAGCTGCACCCCCGTACGACCCAAGCAGGGCAGGGACGCAGCACCAGCACGGGCAATAACAGGCATTCAGGGATTGGCAGGGGCTCTCCAGTCTCCCTCCCTCCCCTGTGGCTGGAGGCATCTTAGAGGGAACCCTGAGTGTAGCTCCTACCTCCTTGTCTACCTGCTAGGGCTGCCACAGAGAGCAAACTACCAAATATCGTGAGCTTCCCAGTACCACTTCTGTAGTCTCCCCCGCCCCCCAGCACCCACGTAATCACCTCCAGCCTGACCCAGCAGATGGGAACAGAACCTGCTGGTGATGGCAGTGCTAGGCTGCCCTTTCCTCACTGTCCCTCTGCTGGTTCAGCTTTACTTCTCAGTGCTGAAGTGACTGGGAGTGAAGGGAAAG